GTGTGTGTGTGTGTGTGTGTGTGTGTGTGTGTGTGTGTGTGTGTCTGGGGCTGGGAAGCCTTATGGGCTCAGTGGTGTGAGTGAGGTGGAGGGATGCTGCCATGGGGGATTAGTTTGGACAGTCTGCCAGGCACGAATGCTCTGAGACGGCTCTTTGCAGATGATATGTATAGATACTTTTGTGTGGGAGTGTGTGTGTGTGTGTGGCTGTCAGTGGCCCCAAATGTGGGGACATGCCTGGGGAAAGTGGAGAGTGGGGTGAGAGAGAGGCATGGTGGGTTGAGGGGAGAAAGTCTGCAGGACCTGGGCATGGGACGGGGACTGGTCTTCCCTGGGCAGCCCCCCAAATGTGTCCCCTCCCCAGCTCTATCCCTTGCCCTCCTTTGGCCCAGCCTCACCTGGTACTTGGCCAGCAGCTTGCTCCTCCAGTGGGCGTGGGGGATATCGTGGAGGGAGAGGCGCAGGTTATGGTAACTGTCCTTAAACAGCAGGGGCTTTGGCTCTTCCACTAGGTAGCCGCCCAGGGTCCGCTCCAGCTCCAGCACCTCCTGTGGGCGGGAAGGCAGAATGAGAAGGGGGTACGCATCACACTCGGCCAATGGGCCCTTTCTTGCTGCAGGCTTAGGGGTTTGGGATACATGTGGGTAGAGGGAACCAGGCTGTAACGCTGGGGGCAAGGACCCATCAGAGCACAGGGCTAGGCATTTCTTAAGTGTTCAAGATTTACAGTGTGGATAGATGGATGGACTGAGAAATGGGTGCATGAGTGAAAAAATAGATAAGTAGAAAGACTGACAGATGGATGTACAGATATAGACACAAATGGATGTGTATATAAATAGGAGCGATGGAAGGAAAGATAAGTGATAGATGGGGGATGGATGGATAGATGGATGGATGGGAAGGATTAAATAAACGAAGAATGCCATCAAGCCAAAATGTGACAACTTCTCTCTTGATCTTCACTCCATTCTCTGACCAAAGCTGGACCTTAGCCAATGCCCCAGAACAAGAGATCCAGGTTGCAAGAGCATTTCCCAGGAGCCTCCAACCCATTATGGGCTCCTGGAATTTCAGACCAGTCTGCTCCCAGCAGGAGACACTGTCTCTCCTGTGAGGCCATTTCACTTATGTTGCATCAGTCCAGCAATCTGGAGTTTGAGACACATGAGACTGGGAAACAAAGTTGCTAGAAGAGACCACAGGTCATGGGTAGGAGGAGGCATGGAGCTACAGGAAAGGACCATTGGGCTTGCCAGGGAGGGGTTGGAAGTATAGAGAAGGGAGAGGGGTTTAAAAGGGGTTCGGGGTCATGCTTTTCCAGTTTTAGGTGGAGACTTGAGGTCCTGGGAACTGGGGGAGACTAAGGAGGGACTCTGAGACTCCACACCTGCTGTCCTCAGGTTAGTGCTCAAATTGGATCCCTTCACCCTCCCTCCTCCCCGCCCCAAGCCACTTGGCCCCTGTCATGGCCCTCCCTCATTTAGGGACTCTGTCCATTGTTTTGCATACACTAGGAGGCTGGCTGTAAGTCCTGATCCCTTCTCTCTCCCCCACCACTCCCATCAGTCACTAGTTGAGTCTATGCTACCAACTACGCAGAGAGCCCCCTCTCCTGGCCATTGCCACTGCCTGTTGCCTCAGGTCTAGCCCAGGATCCAGCTGTATCTTCCCAGTTGGCCTCTCTATCTCATGTCTACCCATCCCCACAGTGTAGCCAGAAAGAGCACCTGTGAACACGCATCCATCAGGTCTATGCTCCTGTCCACTAGATAGGTTCCATTCCTTTTCATGGCCCCCTAGGCTGTTGGGAAGCTGAGTCCTGCCTGTCTCTCCAGCCCCATTCTACCTCCCTCACACACTCACATACCCTGCATGCTTTGGTCACATGAAACAACACACCTGCCTTGGCATAGGCTGCTCTGTCTCTTGGAATGTCCTTCCCCCTTCTCTGCCAGGAACAACTACTCATCCTTTGGAGCAGAGGTCTAAGGTCAGCTCTGCTGCAAAGACTTCCTAGACACCCTCCTCAACAACCCAGGCCCAGCAAGTCCCTCCGGAGGCAGTCTGGTGCTCCCTCAGCCCTCTGTCAGTGATCCCCGGGGATCTGTCTACCCTGGAGCTTGGTGAGAGCAGAATGGTGGCCGATTCTTCTCTGTATCTGGATGGTCTGATGCCACTTTGATGTTTGAGGAATGAATGAATGACTGAATGAGGCTGATGGTAGTGAAGGAGTGTCTGGAAGGTACCATGACTCTGGAGATGAGGATACTGAAAGATACCAAGCAGATGGCCAGCCAGGTGATGCACCCACAGTGTTGTGGGTACGTGTAGCCTGGCCTTACCTTCAGAGCTGCAGGCGTGTCCTCCAGGCAGTAGACCCTGAGGCTGTACTCCAGGGAGGTGCAGAGGGCAGGGGCGAAGATGGCCAGCTGGAGCCGCTTGATAGCTGAGCGGGAGTAGGACTCACCCAGGAACACATAGGTGCCCAGCTGGTCCAACAGAATGTGGCAGGACCTGGCCTCCAGCTGGCAGTAGCAGGGGGTGTTCAGGGTCTCCTCATCCAGGGTCACCACCTCCTGCAGGGTGATGGCAGATGTGAGGCAGACAGGTCACAGCGGAGGCCCTGAAGGGGTCCACCCAGGTAGGACCAGGAGGAAAGGGGCTTTCTCGCAGTGCCCCATGCCTCCCAGGGGAGTTTCGGGCAGTGGACCTGGCCCCCGGCCTTGGCTCCTCACCTCCCAGTGGCCCTGGTGGGCCTGGGTCTTGAGCTGGAAGATCCAGTCACCAGCACTAACTTCAGCACAGTGGGGCACCGTGAGGATGACAGGGCGGCACAGCAGGAGGCCCGTGGGCCCACAGGTCACTGAAGGGCTCAATACTGTCTGGGTCCCTTCCGAAAGTGGGCTGGGGGCAGGAAGGAGGCAGTGAGGGGAGGCCGGAAGCTCAGCAAGGGCCCAGAGTGGTAATGGGCTCCAACTCTGCCCCAGCTTCTGAGGCAGGGCTCCCCTCCCTGGGGCTCCCAGAAGTCGGGGGTTATGGAAAGGCAGAAAAAATGGCATAGGCCTTGAGACAGTTTCTAGATTTTTGCTATTACACTGCAATTCTCACATCCAAATCTTTGCTCCGATTTTCAAAGTTTCTACACTGGGTCCATTTTTGATAGGTGTTGTGAAAATGCCCCCTGGAAAGTTGATACCAATCTATGCACGAGCATGCCATCGGAGGGCTGTGTGCCCATGCTCTTACCAGCATGAAGGTATTATCATCTGGAAAAAATCTGCAAATTCATGAAACAAAAAAACCTCCCAACATCTCATGGCTGTTTGGATTACTATTTCTTTGACAAAATTAGGTTGAACGTTTTCTCATGAACTATTGGTCATTGTGTGTGTGTGTGTGTGTATGGGTATGTGTATATGAGTCACTTGTTCATAACCTTTGCTCATTTTTGTGCTGAGATGTTCAATTTTTCTTATTGGTCTTTCCATAGTGAGGATTAATAGTTAGCTCTTTGTCATACTGTAGCCAGTTTGCCAACTGCTTTTCAGTTTTATGACTTGTGCTGGTGTTGTATGTTTTAAATGTGGACATAATAAGATCTGTCTATGTTTTTTCATTGGAGTGCTATCTCTGGCCTCAGGGGCAGGCTTAGAAGGGGAGATGGTGATATGTGAGCCCAAGGAGGGTGGGCAGCAAGGAGAGAGAGGTGGGACGCGGACAGCCCAGGTCAGGGTTGGGGTCTCTACTCACAGGGTGTTTTCTGCTTTGTTGATAAGGAGGTACATCTCGTAGAACTTGCCCTGGGGGATGGCTCCATTGGGCACCAGCAGGCTGACCCCTAAAAGGAGAGGAAGGTCAGCATGGTGGGGCTGGAAGAGTCTAAGTCTAGCAGCTTAGAACAGGGGACAGGGTGTGGGGGTTGGCTTCCAGCTTAGGGCAGGGAGAGGTCTGTGGACTGGGTACAAGTTACCCAGGCCACTGCCTGCAGCAAGCTTGTTTGGTACCACAGGGGCTTCTGGCATTGCCATGGGGTATGGAGATGGGGTGAAGACCTAGTCTAAAGTCCCAGCACCAGCTCCAGCCCTTGCTCAGTGTGTGATACTGGCAAAGTCTCAACTGCTGGCTTTGCAGCCTGAGATGGGCAGTCCTGCCTTTTTGAAGGCACTCTAGGTTTGCTGAACTATATAGGGATATCCCCTCCCACATAACAGATGAAGAGACTGAAGATTAGGGAGTGGTTGGTCTAACGTTCCCCTGCCCTAGTGAGGCAGAGGCAGGCCTGGACCCCAGGTCTTTTATTTTACAGTCACTTCTTAACCCTGGGCCTCACTTTCCCCACTGGCAAAATTGCATGAGGGAATCCTTCTCTTCCGTTGGGTGGGAGTTCGGGCTATCCAGAGGGGGCATGCTGAGACCAGGATGACAGGCAAACAAAGAGGCAGCCCACCTGTTCCAGGGATGCTGAGCCTCCCACCCAGACAGCCAAAGGTGCCACTGACACTGCTCCCTGGGTCACGGGGCAGGCCCAGGGGCTGCTGGGAGCCGAGGCTGGCACTGCGCAGATGCAGGAAGTGGGCGTCCCGGGGGAAATCACCGGGGTAGGTGCCGGGTGGCAGGACCCCCAGCAGGTCGGCCCCATCTGGCAGGCCTGGTCCAGGGCCGGTGGTGCTGGAGCTGTACACCTTGATCTTGAGGCTGGGTAGGGGGTCCAGCAGGGGTGAGTTGGTCATGGGGATCTTGTCGGCCGAGTCCTGCAGGGCATACACGGGCCCACGGTAGATGCCGGCGCTGGCTGTGAGGTCCGGAGGCACAGACGGGTGCAGGAGCTGTGGGTGGTCTGTGGGGGTTGGGCTTCTGTCATTCCCAGCCGTGCCTCACTGGCCCAGTCCCCCCTCTGCTCTTGCCGGGGGCCTTCCACTGCAAAATCCCCCCCAATGTCCTGCTGCAGAAGGCCCCACTGCTACCCACAGCAGGACGCTTTGGGGACTCGCCAACCTGGTCACCCCTTTCCTTCTCTGTACCCCTCCAGTCCAACTCATGCAGTTCTCTTTAGGGCAAACTCTAGAAATCCTTGGGAGGGAGTTGGGAGCCCCCACCCCTCTGGGCACCCTGCCCATACCCATCACCCCAGGTGTTCCCAGGGGCTTACTGGGCCTCGCGGTCTTGAAGTTGACCGGGTGGAAGCCGCTGGTGAGGGCGGCTGAGGAGTCGGTGATGTCGGTGTCCAGGTCACGGCAGTTGCGGCGATAAACCACCACCCCCACCACCAGGAGGACGGCTACTACCACGAAGATGGCCACCACCAGGCCTGCATACAGTGCCACGTCCCCTGAGGCCTCCAGGACTGCAGGGATAGGAGGGCTGTGTGAGGGGCGAGGGCGGAGACCCAGGCCCTGGGCCCAGGCCAGACTGGCACTGTGCTGGGTTCCAGGCCAAACCCACCACGGCCAGCTGGCAACTTCGGGCAAACCTGAGACTTTCTCACACCATCTCTAGAAGGGAAGTGGTCTCATAACGCCTGCTGTGCTTCTGTCCCAGAATGGCAAGGACAGGTAAAGTGACTGGTCCCTCTGAAGAGGTGACTCATTGCTCAGTGCTGAGGAGCAGACAGGCTGCAGCTCAGGGTCACTGAGGACACGGTTTGCGGACACCAAGAGCACCATTTACAGCTGCAGCAATCTCGCAGGACCTAAGATCCTGGCTCCCAGAAATCCCTGTGAGCAGGTCAGTCTAAGCTCATCTTCCATTCTGTGCTGAGGGTGGCAGGTGGAGGCAGGAGCCAGGGAATGAGATGCAGAGCAATGGGGAGAGAAGAGGTGAGCAGGGGGAGGGCCTGGAAGCTGCTCGGGGAGGACACCCACGGCTGCACTCCTTCCCAGGCAGGCTGGAGGACAGCAGCTCTGTACAACTGGAAACAACTCCTCACGGCCAGACAGGAAGGTGTTGGGGTCAGGAGACAGGGTCTGAAGTGCCTATCCACTAGAACATGGGTGGGGGGTGGGCAGGACTCCACTGCCTGTTCTATAGTGATGGACGTTCTATGTCTATGCTATCCTCACAAGAGCCACTAGCCATGTGTGGCTACTGAACAACTAAAATGTGGCTGGTGTGGCTGAGGAAGTGTTTTAAAATGTATTCAATTTAACTAGGTTAGTATAACCTTAAATACCAGGCATGGTTGGTGGCTGCTACACGGACAGCACAGGCGGAGCCCAGGTGGCCGCTCTGACCCTGGTTTGCTGTGGGAACTCCAGGAAGCACCCGTCCACCCTCTCCCTCCCTGGGGTCCCTGAGAGGTGGCCTGCCTTCCCTGCCTGGACTCCTCCCAAACCTGCCTGTATCCCCCCTGTGCATGGCTCTCAGACCTGGTGCCTGCCCCCTTCTCACCCCAGCAGCTCTCACTCCTGGGGTCGCAGAGGCCCCAGCACCCAGGCGAGTGGCAGAGGAGGCCCTCAGGGCTGGGCTCTGCCTCCTGATGTTCTCACCAACCGCTGGGTACCGCATGCCTGCTGATTTACTGTCTCTAATCAGTTACCAGCCTGGCCCCCTGTGAGCTGGGTGGAAAGTCTCATTGCTGATTTTTATGATTCCAAAAGTATTTGGAAATTGAGGTTTAATTACCACAGGCCAATCTGCCCAAGTAGCTTTTCTGCTCTGGTATTATTGCTGAGCAGCAGAGCGCAGCCCCTGAGGGCTGGAGGACAAGCCCCTCCCTGGCTAGATCCTTGGACAAGTCTCCTCTTCCATCTGGGAAACAGTTTCTTCTCCCGTAATGGGAGGGTCAGCCTGCTGTCCCAGGGCTTTTCTGTTAGCCGAGGGTCTGCTGTCCGCACATGGAGCCTGTGACACATCAGCGTCAGATGCCAGGGAGCCCCAGGAAGGGTTGCTGGGGGGGCACCTTCACCTCTCCCTCTCCCTGTCCCTTGCCCTGCCCTTCACCCCACACCCTGGAAATGGCAGCTAAGGAGAACCAAGGGATCCCCCCAGAGGAAAGAGGACAGCCATGAAATGGGACTTACGGTGACTTTTGGGGTCACTTAGAGTTTTCTTATCTGTCAAGGGAAATAAAGGAAAAGACAATGACATTGGCAGCAGGGAAAGGGTGGTAGAGACGGTGATGGGGAAATTCGAAGATGAGAAGATGGAGGTGGTGGGTGGGCAGGACTCCATTGCAGCCTGTCACTGAGGCCAGAGGTGCACTGGGGGGTGTCTCTTATCCAGCTCCAGAGCACCCACCCCTGGGCCCACCTTTCCAAGGACTCACTTTGCATGCACAGCCCATCGGTGCAGTTCTTGGAGTCAAGCAGAGTCCCGCTGCAGTCTCGGCCTCCGTTCTGGGGTGGGGGCGCCATGCACTCGCGGCTGCGCCAGTGGGCACACTCAGTGCTGCAGGCTGACCACTTGCTCCACTCCGTCCATGCCCCATCGACTGCAGGAGCACAGCACATGGTACATAGGAACATACATGTGCACAGACACATGCATACAGTCACGTGGGCAGAACATAGCAACGTACCCCCAGTCCCCACCCCCCCGTACATACACACACCCCAAGGCAGGGAAAGAAAAACCTAAGACATACAGGCCATACCGAGAAATCCACACCACATCCATGCAGCCCCATGCCAGTGCACACAGCCAGGTGGGCCAAGAGAACACAGATCAGCACGGATGGTCACTCACAGACCCAGCCCAATGCACAAATGTACACACAAGGACACACCCAGGGAAGACACAACACAGGGCTCACACAAACACTTAACCAAAGAGAGAGAACACAGCCAGACATGCAAGGACAGACAGGCAAATGGGGACACAGTACAACAAGGACAAAGAGAGAAAAGCACTGCTCCAGAATTAGGGGTGGTGGCCAAGGTGTGCCTGGCGGTCAAGGGCAGGAGCACAGGTTCTCTGACTCTGGCAGCTCTGGGGGTGACACTGAGAACCACTGGCTGGGCACCCCTCAGATTGCAGCTAAGAGCCTCTGCCTCTGCCTCTATAGCAGCCCAGGGAAGAACAAGTCAAGAGTTCAGCTTGCTTGGGCCCTGGGACAAGCACCTTCTGCTCTCTTTCATGGGGAGAAAATAGATGCCTTGATTGGCAGATGCCTCAGCACAGGGCTGGGGTGGGGCTGGGCATAGGTAGGGTGCCACTTGGCCCTTGGCCTTACCTGGGCACACGGTGGTGCAGGCGGTCTTCTGGAAGGCCTGCCCCTCACAGAAGGCACCGCCATTGAGTGGAGCAGGGTTGGTGCAGGTCCGTGTGCGCTTCTGCCAGCCACGGCCACAGCGGTTGGAGCACGGAGACCACTCTGCCCAGCTGGACCAGCCCCCATTCACTGCAGGGAAAGCAGGCATCTCCTGGTTGGGCTGGCTCTTTGCTCCGTGGGCCTCCCGAGCCCCAGCCCCACCCCTGACAAGGCCCCTGTGCTGATCGGTGGACCTTCCTAGTTGGACCCCTCCTGCCTGCAGGGCTGGGAACTCATACCAGTGGGCAATGCCAGAGGGGAGCCCGGGGGTTATCGGATATTCCTCGCCCTGTTTTACATGGCAAATGAAAATCCAGAGAGGGCTGACACTTACCCAGAGCCACCCATGAGTGATGGGGAACCTAGGACTGGAACCCAGTACAGGGCTCTTTCTATAACAATAGCGGCATCTCAGCTGTGGCTCTTCGCCTCCCTCCCAAGGGGACAGTAGGGGATAGGAAGGAACAGCCTACAGGTCTGGACAGCAGCCTTGGGTATGGGGATACTGACTGGGCCCTGCTCAGCTCTGACTCCGAGAACTGGGCCTTCTCCTTTAGAGACAGGCAAAGGGCCTGAGAAGGGGCGAGTGCTTCTGGCCTGGGATCCAGGAGGAGTGCCTGACTTGACTACTAGCTTTGCTGTGTGTCCTTGGAGAAGGCAGCTCCCCTCATCCTCCCCACCTGTTCACCAGGGCCCTGCTGGCCCCTGGGTGGGGTCAGGTGGGCTGGGCAGCCCCAGGCTCTCTCCCTCCCCTCCCCCTCAGCCATGCCTCCTGCCCACTCGGGCGCACCGTAGACAATAACTGTGGCGGTGGTGCTGCGGCGCTTGGCCACGATGTTTTTGGCCACACACGTGTAGTTGGCTGTATCTGACAAGCGGGCCTGGCGGATGATGAGGTTGTGGTCAATGGTGAGCAGGAAGTTGGTGTCCTGGGTGGGGTCGATGACATCTTCGTTCTTGAGCCATTCCACCTGCAGGAACAGGGTTGCGGGCATGAAGGCCCAGTGCCTGCTCCCCTGCATCTCTCCATGTCCACCCACAGCGGCGCAGCAGGGAGGTGGGACCTCCACGGGCCAAACATTACTGGACACTACAGAACAAAGCGGTTAAGAGGACAACCAGCAGCTGGGCAGCCCACACTTGGCCTCAATCTCACCAATCGTACAACAGAATTTAATGGCATCTACCTGCAGACTCAATGGGTTAGTACAAGAAAAGCATGGAACAAGTGCCTGGTCCACAGGACATGAAGAAGTATTAGCGAGCAGTATGTGTCTTCATCACTAACTCTTCAAACTGACTCCCTCAGCCAGTGTGAGAGGCCTGGCAGGTAATTAAGAACATGATCCCCAGCCTGGCAGACTTGGGTTCAAATCCCAGCTCTGCCACTTATTAGCTGAGTCACCTGGAGTGACTGCTTCTCCCCTCCCAGGGCTCTTTTCCCAGCCATACATGGGTGCCCAGCACATGTGGGAGTCCAGTGAGTGGTAGCTATCACATAGGATGTAAGTGTGAGTCCATTCTCCAGATGAGGGCATGGGCTGAGGGGAGGCTAGGTGTTGAGAGAAGGTTCTGGGGTCAGACAGGGCTGATCCTGACCTGGAAATGCAGAGTTCCATCTTCCCCAGCCACTGTTCTACTGTTCCCTGGTGCCCTGGACCACCAGTGCAAGGCATGGGAGAGAGGGAGTGTGTCTGGAACACAGCAAGGATAGTGAGGGGGCAGGTGGGCACTGTCCAGAGATGCAAAGGCCTTGTGAGGCGAGTACACACCCAGACGTACACACTTTAAGACCAGTTGGCATCTATAAAGCCTGGGCCCTGGGTTCTGGGTAGGGCAGCAGGAGATGGTCTGTACAGCTGTAGGTACCTCCCTGGCAGGACACTGAGCCTGGGGCCTACCCAGGGAGCCCTGGGGGTTCCTGCCCCAGTTCTGCCCCACCCCACGGAATTACGTCTGCAGAGGATCCAGCTGAGGTCGGGCATGTGCTAAGTTCCACAGAGGTGGCAGTTCCCTTCTCTGCCCCAAGCCCCAATATTCCCCTTTGTGAAATGGGAGGACTCTAGGAGGCTGAGGCCTTGTGGCCACTGGTAAACAGCATGCCTGGCTGGTCGCTGCCATGCCCAGTGCTCCCCTTGTCCCCACTCACCTCAGCCACAGGCACCCCCTCTGGAGGGCGACACTGTAGGAGAACCTCATGGTCCAGGGGCACTTCCTTGCCCAGAGGCTCCTGATCGAAGTTCTTGCGCAGGTCTGGGAGAAGGGCGAGGGTCACCACCAGGCAGCCGGGCAGAGTGGAAGCCTGAAGTGTCCCACTCTCGACACTAGGTGGCGGCGCACACCAAGGGAATGCTCTTGGGGACCCCTGGGCTTTACCTGGGGAACTTCCTCTTCTCCAAAGTGGGGGCCTCACCAGGAGTTGGGATAATGGTTCCTTCCCTCCCTGACTAAGCACATGGTGGCCCAGGATGAGGAGGAAGCTGGCAGCTTCCGTATACAGATGTAGGTGAAAAAGGCCATGAGAAATCCTGGGGCTGGAGGTGGCCCAGGTCCTAGAAGCCCTCTTCTGAGCTGACAACCATGTGCCCAATGTCTCTGAGGTGGGCATCTTTAGCCATGGATGCCCCCACAGATGTGCCATGGGGAAAGGGAAGAAATGGGGTGGGGGGTGTCAGGGTGGCTTACATGCGATGCGGACATAGGCCCGACGACTCTTGGTGGTACCTGCGGAGCTCCAGGCCACACACTGGCACCAGTAATCCTCCAGCCCAAACAGCTCCTCTACCTGCTGCCGTGACACTTCAATCTGTACCTCTCGTACCCGCAGGCCTGGGAAAAGGAGGGAGATGCTATCAGTAGGCAGGTCTGAGGATGTGAGGCCCAGGACACAGCCCCGTGACCTCTTTCTCCTGCCAAGTGCCTCTCATTTCTATGTATTTTCTAATTAATCTCTTCTGCCTGCACCCTGGCCCAGGCCACCAATACCTCACCTGGCAAGTACAATGGCTAACACAAGCCCTCTGCCCAGTCCAACCCACTTTACACCCTGCAGCCAATGTGTGCTCTTCAAAATGCACATATGGCATGTCACTCCCCTGCTTATGTCTCTAGTCCCCACAGCATAATCCTCCCACACGCAGATCCTCTACGTGACCATCAGGTGCTGCCCAATCTACCCACTGCGACCTCACTGGGCCTCTTCCAGTCCGTCTTGTCCCCTACTCCGTCTAGCCAGAGCTTTTGCACATCCAGTCCCCTGCCTAGAACTCTCTTCTGCCCCGTCTGTGCCCCATGGACTCCCAGTCATCATCAGCTTTGGGCTGGGACTCACTTCTGGAGGGAAGCCCCAACTCTGGCCCTCAAAGTACCTCAGAGAACTTTCTCCAGGCACCACGTGGCACTCCAACTACTGCACTGGCTGCTGGGCCGTGCAGCTATCACTGCCTGCCCCACCTGGCTTCCCCAGCGCACTGACCTTTACCTGGAATGGTATTATCTCCTGATGTGTTCAGGTGCTGTCTCTCTACTACAGAAGAATGAGGTGGGGCTTTGCCCTGTTTACTGCTGTGGCCCAGGGCCTGGCACAGGAAAGGGGCTCAACAAAATCTGGAGATGTATGCTGCCTCTCCCTGGTCAAGGTGCAGCAGCCAAGGGTCTGTAGTTGGGGGTAGACTCCTCTTCCTGGGAGTCCCCTGAGCTCTCCACAGCTCCCTGCTGGGGCCTAGGGGCCTCCCTGGATGACTCCATCTACTAGCCTACCCAGAGGGGATCACTCACTCTTCTGCCAACCCTTGACAAAGCTTTCTATTCCCAGGAAGGAGTGTACCCTGCTAGATTCGAATTCCCATTTGAAGTGCCTCCCTAAAGCTTGTGGGAAGACTGAGGCTTCCTCCTCCAGGAAGCTCTCCCTGCCTGTGCCCTGTCTTAGAATTCCTAAAGCTGCCACTCTTTGCCATGATGTGTCCCAGCCTGCACATGGGTTCTGAGGGTCCCTGAGGGCAGGGCTGTGGACTGTACACATTGCAGTACTGTGACATGGTGGGTAAGTGTAGGGCTAGATGGCTGGACAGGTTTGACTCCTGGCTCCACTGTTACTCCCCAGTTGTGTGACCTTTGCTAAGTTACTTAGCCTCTCTGAGCCTCACTTCCCTCATCATAGTAAACTCTAAATAAATATTCATGGCAATTAGTCTGCTATAGCATTCAGCCCAGACCGGACACAAATCTACCATGGCAGGTCATTTGGACCTTATCCAGCCCCTTCCTTTTACATTTGGAGAAACTGAGGCCCAGAGAGGGTAGGTGGCAGGCCCAAAAAGTCCCATACCAAGTTGCCAGCAGAGCCGAGAGCAGCTACCTGGCGTCTTGCCCTTGTTCGAGCTCTGTCCCCTAGTGCGTGACACCTCTCTGGATTTCTCCCAATGAATTCATTGCCACAACTCTTCTGCATCATGAGGGGAAGGGGCCCTTGCCCTGGGCATCCAGACAGTGAGGAGAACCCCCTCCTGATGGCCAAGGATCTAACGGGAGGGGGTTGGGGGTGCCATCGGGAGCACTAGGAGGGAAGAGCTGCTTCCGAGGGCAGTTCTGCCAGCACAGTGGCTGCCTGGAGTGCTGGTGTGACAATCAGTGCTGGTACAGTCCATGGCAGGGCAGTGAGGCCTCTGCCCCTTGCTCACCAGACTGTGAGCCTGGAAGGATGACCCCCTTGGGAGGGGGTCATCCATCCAGGCTGTACCAGCGTCCAACATGTGGTCAAAGAAACCATTGCCCAGCAGGGCTCAACATCTGGCAATGGTCACAAGCAGGCAGAGAGAGAACAGGGGCCTTCGGTCTCCCTGACTTGGGCCCCGGCACCAATGACGCCCCCTACCACCACCACTGGCATGGTGGCCAACTGGCAGGCGGTGCCTGGGCCGGGGCACACAGAGCTGGGCTGCCTGCTTTGCCCTGGCATGAGCTGGTGGGGAGGCTCATCCTGCTTCCTGTGGCCCCCAGCTGTCCTCCTCTGCATTTCCAAGGCCTCAGAGAATGCCAGGGAGGGCTAGGGGTGGGGGCGGGCAGGCTCAGGTGGAACCAGCCACACTGCTGCCAAGGGAGTGGCCCACAGGACCACTGTCCATTCTTTGTGTCTTGCCCTTGCTAGAGCTCTGTAGGGACAACAGTACCTCAATTTTTAGGGCTGGCAGGGCTTATATGCCTGGTAGCAGGGCACTAAGCCATGCTGTTACTATTACTGTTAATTGCACAGTCTGTGAGGGGCCCCAGCAGGGTACACTGCTCTTTTGCTCTGTCTGGACCCCTCAGCTGACTTCTGATACAGGTCAGAGTGGCTCAGGGGTACAGACAAGTAAGGATAGGTTTCGAGAGGAAAGAGGCCAAGAGAAAGCCAGAAAGAAGATGAAGGGAACCAGGATTTACTGAGCACCTACTGGGTCCTGGCACCATGCTCGATACGCTGCAGGTACCAACCTGTTCCATCCTCACAGGACCTTCTGTTAACATCCCAGTTTACAAAGTGAGGAACTGTGGCTCAGAGAGGCCTAGTGACTTCCCAGGGTCACACAGCGAGAGAATCGAGGCCACTGGGGTGTGGTTTATTTTTCCTTTTAAACCTTTCTATTTTTATTTTCATATTTTGGGTGAGAATGAGACTCCAAATCTAGTATTTAAAATAATTTTAAAATGTCATGAAATATAAACTCTGCTTTGATAAAATACAAACTAAACTAAAACTTCCCATTTTAAAGTTAATGGCCTTCAATGCACATGGCTGAGTGGCATTAAATACCTTCTGGGGTGTATTTTTATGCCTGGGTAGTGCTGAAATCTGTGAGCTTTCCACAGAAAAACAGGAGGTGAAGGGGGGAGAAAGAAAGAGAGAGGATGTCAAGGAAAGACAGAGAGAGTGAGACAGAGGGGGAGGACAGAAGAACAAAAAGACAAAAAGAGACAGGTGAAAGGGATAGGCAGGAGAGACAGCAGGAAAGAAAGTCTGGAAAAGGAGGAGAAGGAAAAGGATCGAGAAAGATGGTAAAAACAAACCCGAAGCCCCAGCGGGCTCTGGTTGCCTGCAAGTGCCCAGCCGCAGGTGGCTCCCCTCCCTGGCCTGAGCCTGGGGAAGGCCTTCGCTCCCGAGGGGCCTGGGGACAGAGGGGTCCCTCACATAGCCTTGAGGACACTCTGGGAGACGTGATGAGCCCAGGGCTCCTATGGGGGTGGGGGTTCTGCCCCTGACTCCATCTCAGAAGGAAGGGGCCTTAGGCTTCCTCCTGGGTCCCTGCGCTTGAACCACTCTCCATTCTCCCTTAGGTTCTGGGTTACATCCTAGCACTATGTCTGTGGTTATTTACTCAGTATCATTAACTTTTAAAAATCCTAGAACAATGGATTTCTAGGAAGGAAATGATGTATCATTATTGCAGATGGAAGCAGTATCACTTGGCACGGAGAGGACCTGTGACACTAACGATGGTCTGGGTTCTGGTTTGGTCCTGGGGTGCCAGGGCTTTGAGCCAGAGGCCGGCCCCTCTTTGTTAAACAGGGCATAGCAGGAGCCGGGGCAGGGGCAGGAGACTGTCGGCCCACCTGATACAAGCAGAAGATGCAAAGACAGTGGAAAAGGGAATGAGCTCTCGGCAAGGGATTTGGCGCCACTTCATTCAGTTCCCCAAAGTCAGACTGGGATGTGTGGCCAGCCCCTGGGGTGATCCCCAAAAGGGAAACTGAGGCGCAGAGGGGCGCCATGGCTGGGTGAAGCCTCACAAGGAGCTCAGGGTGGAGGCAGGCCAAGGATCAGTGTTCTTGGCACCTCTGGGCCCTGGGTGCCCTGGGGCCTTGGGGCCCGGCGAGGCAGGAGGGCTCACCGGTGGCGTCGTCCAGGCCCTCATGTGTGACGTGGTCGTTCTGGCTGACCCACTCGCCGTTACACTTGAAGTAGATCTGCGTGGCGGGGAAGGCGCGGCAGCGCAGTTCAACAGGCTTGTTCTTCACGATGTAGGCGTCCTGTGGCTCCAGGAGGAAGTGGGGCAGTGGCTCGGCTGGCGCCGATGGGTAGGAGTCGGGGAGCACCTCGCTGCCTGCATCGGTGCCTGTGGAGGGAAGGAAGGAGGGTTCCGTGAGCCTGCAGGCTGGGAGGCCCTGGAGCACTCCTCACTCCCTGGGGCTCATGGCACAGAGAAGGGGAAGGGGGAGGTGGAAGGGAGGGCAGCAGGAGGAGACCTGAAGGTGCCCTCTGAGACCTGGGCGAGGTCTGGTACTCCTGGGGCCTCAGTTTCCCCATCCTGCCCTGGTTTTAAGAGGCTGCACTTTGCTGCCGCCCAGCGATACGATGCAACATGATTCTACTTCTTTACAGATGGAGAAGTCAGCTTGGCCCGGGGAGGGGGTCAATCTGTCAGGGCAAGGACACCCTTCCTACCCTACCCAGTGTCCCCTGCACTGGCCCTACCAGGCCTCCCTCCAGTTTCCCATGGTGATGCCACAGTACATGAAGGGCTGGAAATGGGGCTGAGGCTACAGCTCAAACCAGGGCAGCTCTGCCCTGAAGCCACAGCTGCCCTTGGCTGCCCCAGCCAGCCAGGCTGACGGGAGTGGGGAGGTGAGCCAGGACCCACAGGGGTGTGGGATGGGGTGAGGTGGGGTGGCGGTGCCAGGCTTGGCTCCCTGGTGCTCTGCCCCCTGGAGGCCTTCTCTTCCAGGAAGCCTGAGGCAGGTGGCAGCATGGAGGGGGACCACCTTTCCAACAACCTCCACCCACAGGCTTCCCCTCCTCTGGTATGTGGCTATGAATCCACCTCTCTGCTGCATAACTGACAAGGAAACCTAGGAGGCTGGGAAAGCAGTGAGGCTGTGCCTGCAGCAACCTCCTCCCACAAAGAGGCCAAATGGAAACTCTGGCCTGCCTCCCTCCCTGGAAAGAACAGCACCTCAGGAGGTGAGACAAACAGGAAGGGAGAGGGGTGGCCACCAGCACAGGACGGGCAAACCAGCCCAGCCAGGCTGCTGCTTTACAATCCACTTAGGAAAATTGACTTTCCAACTGCCAAGTGCCAAACAATCAGGTGGCTGGGGACAAGCTGTGGGGGGCTTTTCCTCCTCTGCTAACTGCTCCAGGGGAAACAACGAATTAAGCTGCAGGGGTGCCCATGTCTGCCCAGCCCCTGTGGCAACCAGCCATGGCCCTATCACCATCCCAGCTCTGTGGTTCCTCAAGTGGGGCTGGGATCTTGGGAGGCCCAGGTTATCCCTGGGATCATGCACTTGTTCCCCAGTCCAGGAAGGCACAGTGGGACACACTCAGCCCTCGGAGTCCCCAGAGGCCAAGGGGACACCCGGTTCTCCAAGAATGAACAAAACATGCCTGACACGCCCAAGCTGTGCTCTTTGTGGACCAGGAGATCGGGCAAGACTGGGGGGCTTCAAGAGCATGGAGAAATCGTGGCTGCCATTGGCTCCAGGCTCTGGCTGGGGTGGTGTATGTGTGTGTGAGAGAGAGACAGCAGTGTGAGGGAAGGGGAAGCCAGCAAGAAGGGCATGAATCTGGCTCTCTCCAGTCTGCTCTGTGTGATCCAGGGGGAGCCCCTTAACTCCGGCTGTGTTACTTCACCTCTGATGAGTGAAGGAGGTGCATCTTCTCTCTGGGGTGCTTTGAGGATCGCAAGAAATAAACATTTATGAGGATCCAGGAGGGTCTAGCACATAGTAGGCAAAGCTGCTGCATCAAAGTAGCAATTGATGCTTACCTCCCATCAGGTGCTATGTTCTAGTACTTTACATAGCTAATTCACCTAGTTCTTGCAACAACCTTGTAAAGTATGTTATACTGTTACCCAGTTCATAGATGAGGGAACTGAGGCTCAGAGAAATTGGCAAGGGGGCAATAGTTACATTGAGAAGCACCCGGCACTGCCATGGTGGAGAGGCCCTGGTGAGGATGCCAAGCAACTTGCCCGGGACATACAGCTAGCAAGAGGCAGAACCAAGGTTTGAACCAAGGAAACAGACTTCAGTGTTCAGGCGCTGCCCAGGACCGCACAGCCTACCACTGGTGCAGCTCCAGCACACCGAGTGCTCCCACACACAAGGACCCCAACAGGCACTGACACGAGCCAGGACTCCACAGTTGCAGGGGCTCGCTCATCAAAGGCCAGCAAGGCTGGGACTATCCTTCTTGTTTGAAAGCCATCCAAACGGGGCGAGTGACTGACCCCAGGCCAACCTGGCTAGTGGGCAGCTGAACTGGGAACAGCATCGAGGATGCCAGACCTCCCCCACACCTGCTTTCCTTTGCCAGGCAGGAAGACGCCTTCTCTGTAGGTAAGTTAGCAGCCCCTAGGGTCTGGGAGCTTGGGCGACTGATGGTGAGATGACACAGGGTCCAGAGCTGTAGCCTGCTCTCCCAGGGGCCTGAGAGCTGGGTGGAGTCAAGAGGGCATGTGGGCCACAGAGAACCTGCCACGCTCCGTGCCCACCCCCCAAGCCCCTGGCATCCTGCTTCAGCCTCAGGCACCTTATCTGTGAAATGGGGGACGGGGCCTCCCTCCAGGGTGGGCAGCCATGAAAGAGGGCATCAGGAGCCTGTGGGCACGGCTGCACACAAGCTCTACCCTGTAACCACCCAGCCCCTGGCCCCCAGCCCCCAGGTGATGACCGCTCTGGCTCTTCGCAGCACTGCGGGCTGTATTTATGACTTTGTTTTATAACACTAATGCAGCTCATTTATAAAGCAGGCGTGGACAAGACTGAGGAAAGTAAACATCAGATATCCGTTAGTGCAGCAGGCCCTAGTCTGGAAGCCCCATGGCCCCACTCTCCCCTCCTCTCAGCCCTGGCACAAAGATTCATCTTCGGCCTTAGCAAGAACATGGCTGGGCATCCCCACCAGGGCCTCTCCACCATGGCAGTGCCGGGTGGTTCTCAATGTAACTATTGCCCCCTTGCCAATATCCCCACCACCCAGGTGCCTAGGAGGCAGATGCTGCCAGGAGACATGAAGAACTAAGGGCTGACCTGAGATTCCTCTCCAGACGGACCACCAGGAGACAATACGCTGGTCCACGTGCAGTCGGTGCTCTGTGAATGCAAAGTAAATAAAGGCATGCAGGGCCCAGGCCCAGAGAGCCACCTAGTTGGCCCCTGCCCTAACCAGTGCACACTTCCCCGTCTCTGTGGCTCTGGCTGAGGGAGGGTCCACCTGAGCCTGCACTATGGAGGCCGGCTTGGAGGGAGACAAACAGAGTCTCAGGGGTCCTGGGTGCTTACTCTGCCAGATGCTGTCAGGGTGTGTTTCATGTGAACTCACTGAGCCCTACAACCCCAGAGAGAGTTCCCAAACTGTTTTGGTTGTTAGTATCTCAGAAATTTTTACCCCAAGGCCAAAAGAAATTCCTAAGTAAGGTGTGTGTGTGTGTGTGTGTGTGTGTGTGTGTGTGTGTCCTAACAACTTAGCAGCCATTTGAAAAACTAATACACAAAAATTGAAAGGAAAAATGCTAGTTGTATTCCATTCCCAAAGAGCCGCGACTACAAGTTCTCAAATATTGGAATAAGAGTGGCCACTGTCACCCTCACTGTCTGTCTCAGGGTACTTTCAAATGCCAGTCTCCACTTCACAAAGGTAATGATGCCACCTAAAGGAAGGCAGTGGGATATCATGTTGAAACTGCGAGCTACCTTGAGCTGCTGTGTGGCGGCTGTCCAGTATTGCTATGTTTCCTTGAAGATCAAAAACACCTGAGAGCACTACCCCTGTGAATTTGCTGCAGCACACTGGGGTGCCTTGGCACAAGATTTGGGAACCACAGCCCTGTAAGTTAGGGACTATTATTATCCCACACATGAGGAAACTGAGACCAAGATAATTTAAGCACTGGCACAAGGCTACAAAGCTAGTAAGTAGCAGAGCTAGAGAGCAAATCCCGACAGGCAGACACCTGCATCTGACTTCTGGACTGGGAATTGGCATTGTGTCCACTATGTGCCAGGTGCTTCAAGTATTTCACCTAATTTACTCCTCATAATCCCCAAGGTGGGCATTATCTTCCCATTTTACAAAGGAAGACACAGGGCATCAAGGGATTTGCCTGAGGTCACCTAATCAGTGGGAGGAAGCTGAGCTTGCAGTCCTATCTCTGTCACCTGTCTCTTTCCTGCAGCTGGGCTTTACTACAGCTCTCCCAACAGCTCCAACTTTGCAGAGGAGAATAAAACACCTAAGAAGAGCCCCCCCCCCCCTCAGGAGGAGACCTTGCCTCTGCCAGGCCAGATCTGGATTTCCTGCTGGTAGGAAAATGTCCCACATGAAGTGTGTTTTTTCTAATAGCAGAATTTGTCTGGATCTATAGTTGTAAAAATGCAACCTGCCTTTAAAGCTGCATGAACAAAGGGTTGAGCTATCCCAAAATGAAGGTGTGAAAGAGGACACACCCCTGAACAGACATAACCGCAGGCGGTCACAACACAGGAACAGAACAGCCACTGAAGTCAGGAGCCCTGCATTTGCACCCCAGCTGGGGACTGGCACTGCCAGTGAGGCCTTCCTCTCAGGCCCCAGAGTCCCATCTGTAAAATCAGGGACTGGTTAGGTCAAGCTCTCCAGACCTATTCTGGTTCTAACTTTGCAATTTGAAGATGCCTTATGGGGAATCTGTTAATGCATGACAGTGTCCTACTGAAAACATGTTCTCTTCACGCAGCTTTCTTGCCATGGTTACTCCTGGCTCAAAGACCCAGCATATATTGTGGTCCTAAGTCACAGGGTCAGGGGAGCCCAGGGAGGCAGGAGGAGGAACTATTTGCTGCTGGGCCCTCCCAACCACGCCTGAGCCCATCCAGCCCAGGCCCCAGATCAAAATGACCATCAGTGCCTCTGGGTGGGACCTCCTGTAGGAGCCACTCAAATGCAGGCTTCTCACTGACCTATCCCTGCCTGTGTGAGCTCTCCTGCAGCTGGTCTCACTTGGATGCACAACTCACAGGGCTAGAGGTTACTTCAAGGGCCGTCTCATACAACAGCCCCTATCGAGTCCTTATCCAATCTTGACTCATATCCTTGCAGGGACGGGGAGCTCACCACTGCCTTTCTCCATGA